TCTTTTATTAATCTTTTTATTATGCTTGTGCTTTCACAGTTGCACAAGTAGTTAAAACCTGGGTATAACATCTCTGTATGACTGTAATATGCTGCTGATGGGCAATCAGTTGTGACAAATGTCACATGTTCCCTGAAAGCTTTTACAATTAGAGTACCAAAGTTGGCTAACATTAACTTTTTTTTATGAATTGGAGTAATTCAAGAGTACCTCTATAACATCACTCTTGCTCAGCTGTATCCAGGATGCTTTCTTGAATGGAAGAGAAAGGGATGGAGTGATGGCTGCTGCTGTTGTCACCCAGTGTAGGCCCCAAGGAGTGCGTGATGCATGTGAATATCACAAAGGATGTGTTTCAAAACAAGGAAAAGGTTGAGAACTACTGCTCCAGTCCATCAGATTGAGTCATGGTTGACTACCATCTTAGGCCAGGGTGATCAGATAAATGGCAACTACTTGGTAACTAGAAGCCCAATGTTAACCACTTCTCTGCCTTAGGCACCTGTAAGGAATAGAAGTAGGGACAAAAGGAACTAGAAGTCAATCACACGCTAATGAGCAGACTGTTCCAGAATATGTACTCTAATGCAACAGCAGGAGCTTGTTTGCAAGAGGCACACAACAATCCTGAGGAGGCATAGTCACTGAGCATGGCCTTGCTGGTGGGTCTCTGTGGTTTCCAAGAAGGAAAAGCCAATCCCAGTAGAGGCAGTTTCCTGGGTGCAAAGAGGCAATTAGCATCATCTGATGATAGGAGTTTGCGTGGGAGTGGGGATAGGGATGGGGGGGGGGGAGACAAACGCAGAGATGAGGGTAGAAGACTGATAACCAGTAACCACTGATGAGCATCCTTGTTTCAGCAGAACACCAAAGGTAGCCTCTTTTGATGTGAAACAGAGGCAACAACATTTTGAGAAATGATGGAACACTATATCAAAGTAGGAATATTTTCACACTGATGGGGGTGGCCGTAAGGGAAGAGGCTGGGTCCCTCGCTCAAGTGATAAGGAAGAAAGAGTGTCCCTTTATAGGAAAGAAAGTTTTCCTATCTTTTGGCCTCCATGACAGTACAAAGCAGCAGAAAAAAATGTTTTTTTTTCATGAGATTCACAACAACAGAATCCATAACCTTATGGAAGGGAGTTTCTTGGAGACCACTATGGTATTCGCTCCAAGAATAATTTCCTGAAGGAAATTTCCTTTCCTTTTTTTTCCAGAGGGAAAAAAAATGAAACTGAACTATATAGATTCCTTTTAGCTATTAAACCAGTTGACAGGGATCCCTGGGTGGCGCAGCGGTTTGGCGCCTGCCTTTGGCCCAGGGCGCGATCCTGGAGACCCGGGATCGAATCCCACATCGGGCTCCCGGTGCATGGAGCCTGCTTCTCCCTCTGCCTGTGTCTCTGCCTCTCTCTCTCTCTGTGTGACTATCATAAATAAAAAAAAATTAAAAAAAATAAAAATAAACCAGTTGACAATGAAATAAAAAATTACAAAGAGAAAAGAGAAAACCCCACCTAATTAATTCCCCATTTTTATTTTAAAGAGGAAGAGAAGTGAGAAAGCACTTCACTGGGGAGTTTAATTGGTTGGCAGTGCCTCATAGACCTGCTCACGGCATCAGAGCCCCATACTTGGCTCATCTCATTTAATGTCAATATATTTTAAAATGCCACTGAGTTTAAGTGTAGCACCAAATGATGCACTGTAATAAAGCAGCACAGGGGTTAAATTGAAAGTGGAGGAAATAACTTGGCCAAAGAAACTGGAAGCAGAATTAGTTCATAGGTTTTATTTAGACCTCTGATTTTTCTAGGGGAATTAGGATACTTTGTTGCAGTTCTTATTTGACTGATAGATTTTGCTTAAAATAGACCCTAGTATTCTATTCCTGCTATGAACCATAGTAGATTATTTTGTTGTATTATTGTATTTCATTGTATTTCATTAATAAAAATGATAAAAATACCTAATATCCAAATAAGAGATTAGCCTATATACTCTGGAAAGGATGAGTTTGTTTTTATCATGAAATTATAAGGCTGATCAGTTTCTTTGAACAATTAACAGCATCCCACTCCTCCTGTTTGTTAAAAATAACTAAAACTTTTTGCTATATCTAGGAATACTAACCAAAATATGTAACAGTCAATCAAGTTTTATAACTACTCCTTTCAAAGAGGTTACTCTGCAATGTGTAATTGTCTTAATGTTCATATTAACAAGCCATAGACTTGAAAATACATGGTAAATATTTTGTGGTCAAAGCATTACTGAAAACATTACTGTGGTCCTTTACATCATCATCATTTGGAGAATGCAATTATTCTTGTGTGCAGAAAACTGCATAAACAAATAACCAGATGCCTGTCACTGCCATATATTGTACAGTTATCAGCTACTAATCTTTCATTTTTAGAATTCAAACAAGTTAGTGCAGCCCTAATTGGCTAGCAACATGGTATAATTATTTCTAGGGCTAATTCTACACCAAATTGATTGCAAATGTCCTATAGAAAAAGAGAACAAGGCTGTAATTTGTATTAAATGCCTACCTGAACTTTACATGCCTACCGACTGATTTTGATTAGTGAATCCCTCTCAACTCTAAAAACAAAATTACTACATTGAATAGATTTGGGGGGACATGTGTTTAGAGAAAAAACAGGCTTTGCTTTTATCTACTCTTGTTTTCATGAATTATGTAGGCAAGTCCCTGGTGCAGGATACAAAGTAGCCATGTTATGACTAGCTAAAATCTTCAAGAATTCACAGGTAAAGTGGTGCACGGAAAAAAAAAATACCATAATCATTTTTTAAAGAAAGGCATGGTTTGAGAATTATGTCTGTAGAATAAGTACAAGGTGACAGGTTAACATTATTTAAACTTAAACTTTAATATTCACAGGTCATTTTATAAAACCTAAAGCATAGGTTATGGAAACAAATACTATTTGATTAGAACCCAAGTATTATTCTCTTGTAAAAATGTGTAATTGGGCTTTTTAAATACTCAGTTGAGAAAAATATATATGCTTAGTCTTATCTCTTGGAAGATACATGATTAGCAGTTTTTCTTTAAAATGGGTTATTATGTTGTTAACAAAAATTACTACAATAGGGAAGACTTTCAGATTTATTATGTGTTTATTTAAACTGAGAATATGTATTTTAGAAGAAAACTGGTTTTAATATCAAATCTAAAATAATGCAATTCTAGTTTCTGATGAAGTTATTTTTCTCTTTAATTTATATCTGGCAAAGCCTTTTGGAATTTTAAAACATTTTCATTTAAAATTATTTTTTATTCCCCAGTTTAGATTACTGCCCATTATTTTACCTCTTTGGACAAAGACTCTTCTCTATCAGACTTCGCTGCACTGCTGATTGCCCTGGGGCTTTGAAGGGTCACAGGTGGAGGGAAGGAGTTTGTGGAAATTATGCCTGAAAATACCTTTGTGCTGTCAACATTGCAAAGTGGGGGTCTTGTTCTATTTCTCGTTTTGAATAAAATAGAGAGCACAAAACAAAATTTCCCACATAAGTACCAGGTCAGGTCCACAATTAGTTGCAGAAGCAAAAGGCTCTTGCACCTTATTCCAAGGACTGGAGTCTGTTAATTGTGTCTGTAATTAGCCTCTCTGGTTGTAATCAATTACAAGTGCAATTTCTGAGTGTGAACTAATTTTGTGTGCAAAACTAGTCCCACCAAAACAAAAGTCCAGGTTGGAATGAAATTCAGATCTGTCTTATCTCACTTACATTCTAAGAAGGAACTAATTTCTTCTGTGGAGCCATAAAAAGACCCAAACTGTACAACTGTGATGTATTTTCTTAACTTTTCTGTAAGCACTCTAGATTCTAGGAAAGTTTGCATTACTTTATTACTACTAATATTTGACTAATTAAAAAGATAACTGTTTTATATAATAATTTTAATGGATTTTTTCTTTTAATATGACTGTTTAAATGTGTTATGTTCTATACTATGCATAAATATACAAATACGTACACTCACACAGGGCACAAATAAATTGCAATCTAGAATTCTATTACAATAGATCACTTAATGCATTGCTCTACTTAAAAGGCCTTAACAAAGAGCCAATATGTAATATGAAGATTTGATGAATTTTGCTGTTTGTCAAAACTACTGAGTCAGCTTGGGAAATTTGGCCTCACCAAGGAAATTTTTAACACATTAGGTAGATTAAAAAAGTAAAACAGAACAAAACAAATAAGCAAGCAAACAATCCCACACATTTTGACAGCAGCTCATGTTTTAAAGGAACTTCCAGTGCAGATTTCTGAAATTCCCAATGTCATTTTGGCATACCTATTTTACCACTGTGTTGCAGACAACAGCTTTTAAGTTCCCCAATTCATAAATGTAATTAAATAATTACATTAGTGCTAATTAACATGAAACTGCAGATTATTTAAGCGCAAAAAACACTATTCAACTTCTTAATTATTCTTGTTCACACAGCATTTCCTTTTGCTCAGGCGCCCTAGGTGCAAATAAAGCATCCCATCTGCTCGTAATTAGAACTAAATAATTTCAGAGAATGTAGCTTATCATTTTGACTGCACATTTGATTAAAAACAGTGTACAAGCAATATCCTGGCTTATTGGCGTAACAGCAACAACACACGCAAGCCTGTGTTCTTCTATCATTAAAGAAGATCGAAAACATTATCTGTTATTTCAGGGGGAAAAATACAACTTTTTAGTTCATTTCATACAGATGAAAGCGAATTACAGCAAATCACCTCTCCACTGAATAGCAGCCCCCACATAATGACTTTATTTGCTTAATCCCCAAATTAAACGCCGTTTCGAGCGAGGGCCCTGTGTTATTACTCTCATCATGTCGAGAACATTTTCCTGCCGAGACCAATTTGAATAAAACAAGGGGCCTTCCTTGAACTCAATCAAGGAGCCATAATGTGGTGGGTAATAGAGGTTGCTGATAGATTTGCAGGCAAAAGTGTTATACCTAATGATGGGATATGGATAATAGTCCTCCTGGAGGTCCTGATGCGATTCCAGTTGGCTGCCAGATGCTAAAAATCAAGAAGAGCATTGATCAGTGACAGGAAGCTGTAGTGGATTCATCTAGTCAAACTTCAGCTGTTTTTTCCACTGTACAGTTAAGCCAGGCATAAATTATATTAATTGATTTAATTACATACTTAAAACATCTTCCCCAATTAATTTAATTAGGTGGCTACATGATGCTACTGGCAGGGGAAGATTAGAGGCAGCTCACTTAATTAACAGAATATGAATGAAAAAAAGAGAAAGCAAACATAAATGAAATTGTGAGCACTAATTAAAAGGCTGTCTGCAAACTTAAATACTTTCTGACAAAGTGGTGACAGCAATGTAGACAAGAGAGGATTTTTTTTCTTAGCAAATTAAAGTGCCAGAAGGTATATATAAGGAGAAAAGGTAGTGCAGATAAAACATTGATTTTCTGACAGAACTACCATAGTCAAAGTGAAGGTACTTCTTTTCTACAGAAAAAAATTGCAATAGATTTCACAGGTGCAAAAGCCAGATTCCTGATTAGGGCTAAAATATGATGTACAAACACATGTAGGGTTTGTGCATCATACACGGAGAAGAGTGGAAGGCAAGAGAGGCTGGCTAGGAGGGTAGTGGAGAGAGAAAGGGAAGATAAAGAGACAACTTACTGCAATCGCTCAAGCAAGAAATGTTTAGAAAAAGAGGTCTGCCTTAACAGCTGGCAGCCTTGTGTACCTTGGCTCGAATACGGAAATTCTCCAGGTGTCTCTCACGTGATTCCTTCAGGATCTTCTTCACTCGGGTCTTATGGCAATGTAAGAGCCATGCAATGGCAATCACACCTGATGCCCACTTCTGCTGGCGATAAATGAGGAAGAGTTTTCTTGCTTTGAAGCACTTCCATGTGGCTTGGATCTTGTTGGCAGCCTCTGACCTTCCATCTTGGCCCTTGTACCTTTGCCCCGGAATATTTAACATCATCTGGATGTGAATTGGGTTCTCTAACAGTGAGAGGAAGTCATATCTGGTAAGTCTATGCTTCAGCTCAAACTCTGGAAGGAAGGCTACCAAATTGTTCCCTTTTATTTTAACTTCTGGTATTGCATAGTCCCTGAGAAACTTCTCTACGTGTTCCAACAGAGAAAAAATACTTCCCCAAGATAAATGAAAATGTTCTTTGAATGCTAAGAAGTCCGTGGATGTCTTATCTATGACACCATTATAAATAAAAAAGTCATAATCCCATGGTGATTTCACAGCTGTCAGAGGTGTTGTGACTTTCATGATCTGTGAAAGGAAAGTGTCACAAGAGATGAAATAGGATTGTGGTCTTTTAAATGAGTGGTCAAGACACTATCACATTGTCATTTATTACCCATTTCTGGGAAAAAGTGGATACTAGTTTTGACTTACATACATGTCATAATTGGAAAATCTGGCTAGTATATATCATGAAATTCATCACCAGAAGTGTATCTTAGAGGTCACTCGAAGCTATTATTATTTTTATAAAAGTGTTATAAAATTGCTCTAGGAAACTGATCATATAAAAGTTGTGCATTTAGTTTACTCTGATATGGTCAGCCGAACCCATAATCTCTGTGATCTACATTTTAAATATGCATGAATGGAAGCATGTCACTGCCTTCTCATTCATTCATAAATTATCCACCAGTCCTGAAAAACAGGGTGAAATATTTCTTTGCAGTCTGTACAGTAACATCAAATATGCTCATCAAAGCTGTCCCGTCTATTCTGACTTTCTAACAGACCATCAGTTTCTAGCATTTTTAGTTCTTCTGCCACCTTCTGTTAATATCCAGGAGCGATTTGTACAAGGAGCATTATCTTGTGTGTGATCACCCTTGCCACTTACTCTAGGCTTCATTTGACATATGTTCTTTTATTCTTAAATCTGGTATCTTCTTAGAGGACATAAGTGGAGTTGTGCCCGGGTAGAGAGAATCTGAAATCTCACAACAACACTAAAGAAGCATTATCTTTTTCATTTGCTTCTGTCCATATTGATTGAAATTTTAAGACATGTAAACATACTACATTTATTTTTAAATGCCAAGAAGGTTCTCTAAGAATGGGATGATGGGCAGTTTTACTCCCTTATACTTTTCTGCATGAAAAAAATGGAATAAATGTGATTTAAAAATAAAATCAGAAGAGGTTTGGGTGACAACAGCAGTATATGTCACACATATCCCTTAAAAAAAGAGAGAGAAATGGAAATTGTGTTGTCTGTGTCCAGTGTGAAATCACTACATTTCGCCATTGAAACCTGTTGCACTACTAAAATAGATACTCTGTCTCATAGTCTAGATGTTCCTAATGGCCTGGGGACCTGGAGGGGCCGGGAGGATGTGACAGGAGGGCATAGATATTTCATATCCTGCCTTCTCATCTGTAAGCCAGGTATCCAACTTACTGTGTGGATTGCTTCTTTCTTAGGGATTTAAGGAACAGATTGTCTTCAATATGCCAGCGTTTACAGGCATATAAGCCCATCTTTACCAAATTGTAGGGTTATACTACTTTCTGAATTTTGAAGAGTTTTTGGAGGACTCAAAAAAAAAAAAAAGACCCAAGTAATTCATCAATAACTATGGTGCCACAGCACCATATTGAGTATTACTATTAGATTTCTCATGCTTTGTCTTTACTAATCAAGTATTAATTCATAAAAAATTCAAGGCAGAGAGCTATGTAAAAGAAAAGTAAGCTGAGAGATGATTTATTATTAAACGACATTAAGCAAACACAATATTTTTAAAATAAAGAAAACCTTCAAATTCTTTCTCTTTTCTCAGGTTCTAGGCAGTGAAATAGTTAGACTGTCATCTCAAGTAAAAATGCTGAAAAGCAAGCATTAGTCCAAGGGGGGGGGGGATTTCCTTTAGAGGCAGACTTAAACAGCAGTGAGCTTTTGTATACTTTTAACTCAAGAGTGTTATAGGCATAGGAATGATGGAAAAAGTCTTCTTGCCAAGACTCTAGCCCTTTCTGATCTTCTCAAGGTACCAAAAGAGGATGCAAACTGTTTGGTGGATGAAGACCAATTCCTTCCTCTTGGATGGGCAAGAGAGAGCTGGAGAAATAATGCCTCCTGTAGCAGACAACAGTGCAGGCAGGAGGAGCCACAACTCCTAGTGGAAGACAAGTGGCACATGTTCCAACAGACATGGCCTGTGGCTACATTTCTGCCTTCCTCCAAGAATGGAGTCTGATGATGAGAAGGTTAGAATTCAGAGTAGAATGACCAGGCTTCATGAGTGAGAAACAGACACGTAGAGTCATCACAGATGGACATGTATGCAACTGGCTCGTCCTGCCAGTCATGTGTTTGATCCTGTTGCCAAGAGCTTGAGACTTTTATAAGAAGCGCAGCTCTGGACAAGAGGTTTGCCGGGGAATCAGGTTTCCTTGGAAATATGAAAACAGTTTTGAAGTTCCTTATCCTTACAGAGACTCATATGAAACGGAGCAACCTTGGGAGAAGATTTTGAAAGAAGAGGATTCTTAAGTCTCTCTCAGGCAGTGCCTTCCAAAGGCATAGGCCTAGGGTGTCTATGTAAAGCAGCAAATGCCTTTAAAACCTTTGGAAAGAAGAGCACTGGTATAGGAATGGGGTTCCAGAATTTGACAGTGGCTGTTTTAGAACAAAGGGATTATACCTCCCTACCTTCTTGGATGATATTCCAGTAAAGACCTGTTCTCAAAGGAAACACACTCTTGGACATCAAATAGACCACTCAGGCACAGGGAAGCTATGGGTTTGGAGTCAGCTAAAGCATAACTGTAGTACATCTGTCACAGAGAATGCCACACTTGGGAGCACTTCACACTTAGAGCTGGAAAAGACATGTCTCTCAAGAGAAAGCCTTCCCAAATTAAAGCAGTGCATCAGCATTGTAGGATCCATTGAGCAGGTAAAGACAAAGCTGCTTCACAGCCTGCTAGGAATAAGAGCCCTGATTAAAGGTCATGCCGTGCTTCAGATTTTGGTTCCTTCTGTTATTCTTCCTTTACTATTTATCTCCATGAACTTGTCTACAATTATTTGCTGCCTGCCTTTTTTCCCTCCTCCTACCTTCCTTCTTTCGATTCCTTCCTTCTATTCTTTCCTTCCTATCTCCCTCCCTTCCACCTTTTTTTTTTATTAAGATATGCTGTCCTCCCAATGTTACTATTACTGACCCAATAGCAACATAGTTTTCCTTCTAGTGGAGATGGCTCTCTGTCCTGCTATCCACATTCTCCCCTGGTCCTTCCTGAGACCCTGGCCACAGCTTTGCCAGAGCCCAAACCTGTGGCCATGGCCTAATTATTAACATCCTGCTCTAACTAACCGAATCAACTAGCTGAGAAATGCTCCATCATTTTCAACGTGTTACTACTAATTAGGTAATTTTGAGCGTTTCTGGAGCAGTTATTTAGGAAAAATTATAAATTTAAAACAAAACAAAAAAAAAGGAAGGCAGGATAATAATTACATATGTCAATAAAGTCACAGGTATGAAACAAAAATGATAGGCCCAGTATTACCTCCTAAACTTTGGAAATAACTGCCATAAAGAAAAACTCTGGGAACAAGGGTATGTGTGTATTTCTAAGTTGAATGTCTTTATGAGAAATGTTCTTCTCACACATGTCGATAGCATGTGGATGTAGTATTAGACCATAGCTGAGGATCCCTAAATTAGATATAACCAAGATATCCTGGTGGCAAATTAGCAAGTATTTGGGATAATCCAACATGGGTATCATTTTTAGAGAAGGATTTGCCTAGAAAGACAGACTAAATTGCTTTTGAATCCATAAGCTGATGTTCACTTTCTCAAATACTCAAACATACCTGTTAGTAACTAGCTTTGGCAATTCTGTTGTGTGAAAAAGAATAAATTCCTCTTGATCATTATGGCTCTGAGTGCTTAGATTTAGAGTATGAGAGAAATGACCCTCAGAGATGGAATGTTCATTACTCCCTGAAAGCCAGGGATGTCACTTGTCTGGTGTGCTCTTTAATATTTATCAAGGGTCTGAAATGTGTTAAGTTTTAAATAGAACAGATATAATTACGTCAGATGGCTAGCATTATTTGAAAGTTATAAACAATATTCAGAGAGAGAGAGCAGCTGACCTAAGGAGAATTTAGGGATTCAGCAGAATTATGGTACTGAATTTAGAGCATGGCAGATCTTGAAGGTCACTGGCCTTGCCTTTTTTTTCAACAGGCTACTATGGGCTTAGGGAAATGAGCCTTGGCCCTGAAGTCTGACTAACCTGAGTTCAAGTCCAGGCTCTGCCATTGTCTGCTACGTACTCTTGGACAAGTTATCAACTGCTATGGATTGAAATTTTGTGTCCCCACAACATTCATATGTTGAAGCCAGGTCCTTGATGTGATGGTATTTGGAGGTAGGGCCCTTGAGAAGTAGGTCACAAGAGTGGAGGCTTCCTGATGAGATTAGTGCCCTTATAAGAAGAGACACAAGACAGATGATCTCTCTATCATGTGAAGATACAGCAAGAAGGTAGCTGCTTGCACACCAGGAAAAGGGCCCTCACCAGAACCCAACCATCCTGGCATCCTGATCTTGCACTTCCAGCCTCCAGTACCATGAGAAATAAATGTGTTTTTGCCACCCAGCCTATGGTATTTTGCTATGGGAGTCTAAGCTAAGATAACATCCTCTCTAAACTTAAATGTTTCTCATTTCTAAAAATGAGGAATCCCTGCAGAATTGCTGTGAAGATTGTAACACGTGTAAGGAACCTTTCACAGTACATGTGATTATCCAGTCCATGTGATTTTTAAAGAAAGATTTTATTTATTTATTCATGAAAGACACACAGAGAGAGGCAGAGGCATAGGAAGAGGGAGAAGCAGGCTCCCTGCAAGGAGCCTGATGTAGACTCAATCCTGGACCCCAGGATCACGCCCTGAGCCAAAGGCAAACGCTCAACCTCTGAGCCACCCGGGTGTCCCAGTCCATGTGATTATCACCATAGATAGGAAACAGAGAGGTTAAGTGATTTACCCAAGATCACATAGCTGGCTGCCCCATGGATACCTATACCATCCATGCCCACAGCTCTAACTGTCCAGAACTCCCTACATGGCCTCTTACAAAGCTGTGCTCTGCTCATTCAACCTTCCTTTTACCACCTCCTACATCAGAGCCAACCTGGCCCTGACTTGCTGTTTCTTTCTTATTTGGAAAGCAGTCTGTTAAACTAACCCCTATGAACATGCTAATGAACCATGGCATGGTAGG